CATTAACTTGAAGGAAGTGGAAAGTTTTGTTGAAATTGGAAATTGACTTAATTAGCATCCATCCGTTACGTTGAGTATGTGTCGTTGATATTCAGGCTGTCAAGCTTGTTTGTAAGGAAAGTATGGCTACAGCCCCCCAGTTAAAGAGGAAATCAATTTATATAAATATAAAATAAAATTGTATTATGTTAACAATTCATAATATTTCTAATAAAAAAAATATTCCACTTCTATTTATAACTTTCATACTGCTACTTATTTTACTTGTTGCTGGCATTCAATATATTTTCTGTTAGCTGATGTTGTTGGCTGGGCTAAAAGTTGTAGGGCCCTCAATTTACCTATTTGGGTTATCAGTTTAGATGGCATCGCTGGCGATCGTAGATCTCAGTTATAGAATGTTTATGTACAAGAGGACTACGAAAATTTCCGCATTGCTTTTGTATAGAGTATAGTGTAGAGCAGTGTTACTCAAAGTGTGGTCCGAAGAAAATAACAAAAAAAGCAGTACCTATCGCTACAACGAGACTTGACTTGAGGACCTTTTAATTTTTTTGTTTTTTTTTTTTTTGTAGAAGGTGTACAATATTTTGGTATTTTTGGTATTTGGGGATTTTGAGAATTTTGGGATTTTGGGTTGGAGGACATTTTCTGGTTTTTTTAGAAGCCATGTAGAGGAAGGAGTATATGATTTTGGTATTTTAGGTTGGAGGAGCTTTTTTTACACATCAGGGAGAGGAAGGGGTTCAGGAAGAGGAAAAGAGGAAGGCGTATATGATTTTGAGAATTTTGTTGTTCCGTCAAATATTTCACGTTTCAAAAAGGTTCCGTCACCAAAAAAGTTTGAGAACCACTGTTGTAGAGTATAGACAGTGAGTCTAGTTATCTCAGCAGTGTTGTCAATATCTGAATAATTATCCGATTTTCGGATAAATTAGTGTAATTTAGTGTTCTGCAAAGTGGACGAATATCTTATAATGCTATGAATGTATGGAAGTATAAAATCATATAAAATAAAAGTATTTTCTATATAAAAAATTGTTTTATTTGCGGCAGTGTTATATTACTATTAATCACTTTTGTACATAAAATTCTCTAACAGCAAGTTGATACTTTATGTCTAGCGTCTAGCATATAGATTTACCCGACAGTAGAATATATAAATAAATGCCTTTGCCTGCAGCCGTGCAGCGGTAATCGATACATAACATTTTAAAAACTAACTTTTATAGACTTTTCTAGACTTTCGCTATACTCGGACAAAATATTGAAGAAGGTGATTCCTCCCTGTTCACGTACAACAATCATACTACACCAGAGCATAATGAATGGAATCACGCGCTTAAAACTGCAGAAGTTATCGGTATCACGTGCCAACTAGTCATAAATGCACGTTTATTGCTAAAATGTATTACGCCAGTGGCGTATAAAAACTATTGGCAAATTAAATGCGGTAATAGTAAATAATATTATATGAAAGTAGGTTGTTTATCTATTTTTGTAGTAATAATCATTTATGTTTATAATTTTGTTCTGTTTATTGTTAAAATATGTAAATATGCCAATGGCGTAGAAACACTATTGGAAAATTAAATGGGGTATTATACTAGAACAAAATATTGAAGAAGTTGTGCCTTAAAACTGCAAAAGGTATCGTTATCATATCAAAATGCACTCTTCCAATTTCGCAGAAATACTGTATTGGCAAATTAAATGGGTATTTGTGAATATTACTAGATGAAAGTAGGTTTGTTATATATTTTTGTTATAATAATTCATCTATGTTTATAATTATATTTTGTTTATTATAAAAATATGTAAATTAAGCTTGGTATCACTTACTTGAATTCTAAATCTATGAAGTTTCGTAATCCATTGATTCTGCAGAACTATCACAGGAATCGTCTTTATCGTCGGAACTTAAAGTTATGACTAAACTAAAGGTTCAACTACCGTTTCGATCATACCGTCCAAGCGCCACATATTATTTTCTTCCTTAATTACATGGGAAATTGCATTCTGCTAATCTTCAGGTTTTATACGTTTTATACCGTTTTTTAATAAACTTTGAACGTCGGCTATTTTAAAAGTTTTATTTTCTCGAGCTACAAACCCTTTCACTTGCGCCCAAATTAGTTCAATAAAATTGAATTCGCAGTGATAATACCGTAATACCACGATCACAAGCCATTGTGTCGACAACATATTGAATATATTTATGGCGGTGTTCCTTTATTAGGTCCATTAATTCCACTTTAAGCATCTCCTCAGTAAATGTTATTGCTTTATCCCGCAGCCAGGTTTGCATATCCGCTTTTCTACTGGACATTATCGGAATGCGTTCAACTCATCGACTGTCATAAGAAGCGTTATCTAGTACAATAACTGAATTTCGTTCTACACGCTGTAATACTTCAGTCAACCATTTTTCAAAGCATTCCGCATTCATCTCCTCGTGGTAGTCTCCTGTTTTTTTCGATATAAACACAAGAGCGCTATTTTCCAAAAATCCTCTGTCACTTCCGATATGGGTAACAATTAGACGTTGTCCTGATGGTGCTTTCAAACCTGCAGATAATCCCTCTATAAAAGCTTGGCGGTGACTAGTTACAGAAGTATCTTGCCATATCTTAGATACCGTGTGTCCAGCATTCACCCACGTTTCATCGAGATAGTATATCTTTTTTTTAGCGGCTCTAAACTCTTTAATATTTCGTAAATAACGCCGTCGCCTGGACACTATATCTGACCTCTCAATTAAAATTGATTTCCTACACCATTTGACAAAACGAAATTTTAGGCCCTATAAATTTTTTCGTAAAGTTTCACGGCTCATTAATGGAATTTCTTCGTTTTCTCTTAATTGCGTAAGAACAACTTTAAGTGTTGGGGCTTTGTTTTCAAAAAAAAAAAAGAATGTACAGTTCTTCGAATGATTTGTTTTTGGTTATCGTCCAATTTCAACAATTTTCGACCACGGATATGCGTTTTAGGGGCTTCTAAGGAGCCTTTTCGCGTACAATACGTTCAATTGTTGAAACAGATACTCCAGTTAAAAAAGAACTGCGGTTTACAGCTTCATTGTTAGGAAGTGTTTGTTTCAGCCCATCATACACTTTCCATATAATGTTCTTTTCATCCTTTAATAAGGGCTTTCGCCGACGTAATTAGGTTTTACTTGTACCCGCCTCTGATTCCATTACTATTGTAATAATATAATTCTACTATTAAATTGTTTTTATTAAATTTATAAAGACACCAATATTTTACTATTTAATAAAGTTTTAAAGTACCTTTCTAATATACTACACAATAAATATAACTCCACGAATATGCACTACCACTACCAAATTGTAAGGCACAAACATGAACACCTACTCGTATATCAGAAAAGAGCACTTATACAAAAAAGTGTTTATAAAATATAAAATAATTATCGTAAATAGTTAAAGCAATACACATCTAACTTCGTCGAAAGTTAGTTTTCAACTGTCTTTGTGCCTGTGCTGACAATATTCAATCTGTAACCCGTCTGTCGTTTATTTACTTGAAACACATTCATTTGTCATCGCGGAGATTTCTTTAAAACTATCAAAAACGTATATTTAACGCATCATCTTTGTTTAAATGAAGATGTTGACAAACAAATTTAATAAAGTTTACTAATAATAACTAATAAATAATAAATAATTATTTTGGTATTTGAAACGCTGCCTATGCTGACTCCGTCGGAATTTTCATTCATAGACAACAGTGTTGATCATGCATATGACTCACCTTCTCCAATATTTTGTTCTAGTATAGCTGGAAAATGCAATAGTAAATATTTAGGAAAGCCTACCTTCGTTTTAAAACAGACAAAATTTCAAAACGTTTATATACAAGACTACAAGACGATGTTCAAGGCATGTATATAATAAAAGCAAGTGTTTTAAGAAATAAACAAGCGTTTTATTAAATGTAACAAAACCATTATATGATGAAAAAGTAGTAGAGAACAAGTACTTAGGTTAGTATAAAAAATAAAGTGTTCCAAAATAGAGGAATACTACTAACATATGTATATTGAATGTCAGGGACGGTCTCACAATATGCTTTAGTAAGTTTTGATAAATTTTATACATATCTTAAGTAACTTTAAATAGAAATAAGTGTTACTTCATAATATTTTCTTTAAATTTGTAAACTATGAAATAATTATATTTAATTGTTACATTTGCATTTCCATTTCTGGTAAATTTTTTGGAGCAGTAAGTACATTATGCGTGAATACCCACTTTAGATGTTACTTGCTTAATTGGAAGTGTTAGCATATAATATTGCTTAACACCAACAATAAATTAATTTAAGAATGTATAACATCTGACCCGTGAAAAATAAAACTTAACAAAAATATTTATGAACGCATATTTTCAAATTATTTGTTGAGATCTTATGGATAACATACCATGTGAATAATATACCTTTTAGATAAAAATATCTGTTGGTCTATTAATTTAGTAGGATGAAAGGATTTACATGAAATAATATAAATTAATTATTTATAAATCTTTTTATTTTTAATGAATAAATTAAATTAAATAAATACAAATAATTTACATAACTAGTTTACTACAGTCTATTTTGTAGGAAGTGGGTAATGTATTTATAAAATATTATTGCACTCGTTGGTAAAAAAATGCAATCATTTTTAAGTTACGAAAAATAGTATGGCAAATACTGACTTCTATTATTAAATAAATATGAATGTTTAAAAAATAGAAATAGTTAAAAGTTAACAAAAAATAACAATGTACCATAAGTATACAATAAAATTGTAATAAATTATCCATAGTTACATAAAATAGTTCAGTACAGTAGAAATTTGAACACAACAAAAAGATTGCAAGTTTTAATTCAGTAAAATACCTACTTCCAGTTACTGGCAACTGACAACTAAGACGTTTTATTAAAAGATTATTTCATTGCTTGAGGAATCTGTTTTGAATAAGCAATTTGACCTGCTGCACTTCTACCCCAACCATGATGGTCGTCATGCTCATAAACATCATCGTGGTCGTAATGATGATCATGATGAGAATTTTCATAATATATTGTTTTCTGTTTTCCATGCTTGATCAGGTACAAAAACTTAGCTACCGAAACTGCCAGTATTAGACCCGCAGTAATTGCCAATTTAAGCAATAAACCAGTTTGTAACAGTTTGACCAACAGGCCCAGTTTAGCCACTACTGCCAAAAAAATAGCAAAGAACCTTTTCTTCTTCTTTTTCTTCTTTTTCTTTCTGGCTTCTGAAATTTGTTTTGAATTGTCATACACAAGCTGAAAGGCTTGAATTTTGAATTTTGGCATTCGGTTAGTCACATGCGATGATTCTTTAGTTGTACGAGTAGATGGTTGAAACAGAAGATAAAGCTAGAGCGATATTTGGCCATTTGAATACTTAAAATACAGTATATCCCATAAAGCGGGGCTTTTTTAAATTATTTTTACATTACTCTGAGCAATACATAAAATTTTGAAAGAAGTTTTTAATTCTCAATAAAAAGCCTAATTTTCAGCTGAAATTAAAAAAAAATTGTTATTCTAACAAAATAAAAAAGTGACACCCCGCTTATGGTTTAAAAAAAATAAGTTAAACTCCTAGTAACATAGTTAAATATCACCACTATTTTTTATAAATTATAGAATAAATAGGAATGCAATATACAGTTAGAAATGTTAAAAAAATAGGTTAAAATAATTAGACACAAAATAAAGAGAAAACAGTTTATTTTGTAGAAGTAGATTTACAAAATTGTAGATGAATATTATGAAAAATGTCACACCACTTGTAATAAAACCTATTAGATATAAATATGTATATTTTAATCTATCAAATGTTAAGTAACATTTTAAATAACTCACTCCATTATACAGATGTTCAAGAGATCTAATTTAAATCATTTTTTTTAAATTTTATTAGAATAATATATAAATTAATAAATAAACATAAATAATAAGTAATTACTAATCCTGCATAGTAGAACGTTTTAGTTATCATATGAAGGATTAGAATTTTATTTAGTTGCAAGAAAATCAGTTATTAATATCTCGAAATACAATCACCCGGGTATTATTTATTTTTTAAACCAATTTAACTTTTTTTTTAAAAAGTATATATCTATAAAGAAAATATTTAAAAAAATTTCAAATATTTTTGAATATAATGGCCAAAGAAAAAACATTTATTTATTTATTTACTAAAACAACTTTCAAAATACATATTTTTATTTTATTTTTAGAGATTCTTAAATAGTTTTTCAAAAAATAAAAGTATCCACGAAAATGAAAATACTGATGAACTTGCTAAAGAAGGATAAGTACTATCATTCACAGGGCCCGAACCTGTATTTGGGATAAGCAAAACCTCTGCTCGACAGGCACTAGACGCCAAATTCATTGGCAACAGAATAAGAGGACAGTAAGCTCATGTTAAATAGACCAAATACAAACATTGCTGTTAAGGTACTACAGCTCGCGAGGCCCAAGTTATCTATTGCTGGCTAGAACTAGAAATAGCAGCCCGGGAACACTTAATAGAAAATCTAGTAAACTACCTAAATACTGGAAAAGCAGGGGAATACAATAGACCCAAGTATTCTGGCCACCGACAAATATAAAGGATAAAATAAAAAATTGCCGTAAGTTCAACCATTTCTTGAGGATAAGATACTTCTTGACGACTATATAGCTAGAAAAGATAGAAATCTTGTATCTGTCTGAGCAGTAAAAAGCTTCGCATAGTAACAGGCTTCCTTATCGGGCATTGCTGACTCAAAGTCCACCTTAGTAAACCTGGACTAGTAGAAGATATTGAGTGCAAATTCTATGAGGAAGAAGACGAAATCTCTATACATATTCTGACAGAATGTGTAGTAGAAAATAAGACAAATTTACGCGATTTATGATCAAGTAATGAACTATACAAATAACTCTGATGGGGCTGAGAAATCATTTCCGCCGCAAAATTTGTGTATGTACATTTTTAATTACAAAAATGTGTTTCTCTAAAGCTTTTTCTTAGAATATCTTCAAAAAATATTGGGAAAAGAGACCGGTTTAAAAACGGCCAAGTGTCCACCCCCTCTGAGCCTCCAAACTCTATTAAAAAGGTTTGTCAGGTATATTTCCTTAGGAATTTTCTGGTTGCTATTAGGTGCTAATTATTTTCGATACGGTACAAAAAAGATTGTCAGAATACAATGTGATGCCTTACAAACCTGCAACATCGAAAACAGAGGCTTCAATTTGCTCGAGAACACTTTAATTAGGAAAGTAATCATTGGGTCAATTTATATAGACTAGCCCAGATTTTGCCTGTTAGGTACAATTTTTCATATTTGCACGGTACATTTTGTTAGAACTGCAGACTTAAAGTCCATCGAACACTTGTGGAACATCATGGGATGACTTATTGGAATTTTACAATGGATAATTCTTGAGTTTAGCATTAAGTTAAGTATGACAAGACCATAAAATAAATAAGGACATATCAGGCCATCATAAGGCCAATACCTGTTATTAAATCTCTACAACATTCTATTAAATTTCATCATGATTTCTATTTTCGATACCTATACAGAGTGTTTCAAAAAACATGTGCTCGCGGGACAATTCTTTACTCAAAAATAAGACAAATAATTCGAATCAACATGGGTTCGCAAATTTTTTATTTCAAAGATACAAAAGGTGTTAAAATGTTGTTTCCTTTTTAACATATCTGCGAAACAGCTTTAATGTTTTGAATGAAATTTCGGTTGTAAAATTCAATAATGATGACAATACCATACTAAATTTTTAAAACTGCTTTATTTTAAGATTGATATTTAACAGAGATTGATAAAATTACATCTTCTAAACAAAGCAGAAATTCAAAAATTTAGTCATTTAAATATCTAATTGCACGCGTACTCACCTTCTTACATCTTTTTATTACTAAAATATGTGATTTTTTAGGTAAATTTTACAACTAAAATTTCATTCAAATCGCCCAAGCGGATATATAAAAAAATATTTAAATATAACATATTATATCTTTAAAATGAAACATCTGCGGACCAACATTGATAGGAACTATTTGTCCTATTTTTAAGTAAGAAATCACCCCCACGAGCAATGTCGCGTGGTTTTTAGAACACCATGTATATTATTTTTGCGAAAAGGATTATAAAAAGTAACACAAACAATTGAGAACCACATAATAGACTGAGAACTAGCGGCCTCACGGTGGTACGATCGTTCCTCTAGCTGGAATTTTGTGAAAAGTTAGACAGGACTATCCAGGACTATCAGGAAGTGTCATCTGCAAGGATTTAGTTTGAAACCACTTCAAATGAGACGTTGGAAAACTCAAAGTTGTAAAAAATATCAGCTAAAAAAATTTTATATACACATATTTGATTAAATAACTCACTTGACTGACTTATAAGCTTAGTTTGTTAATCATTGAACATGCACGCAAATTTGCATTTCGCAACGTGATTCAATTCGCACTGAATGTAATATTTTTTTTTATTTTGTTATTTTACAAAAAATATGAACATTGAATAAAAAACCTGTACTGTTGTTTATTTATTTTAAACACTAACTTTGTAAATTCATCTCGCATTAACCTGTTTTTCTATTTCTACTAAGAAATCAAATATGGCTACATGACGCGAAATTAAATGTATGAACCGGTAAAATAACAAGTGGTTTTCGGGAGAGCTGGTGAAGCTCTGAAAACTGAACAAGCTGGAAGAATCACGTCACTTGGCGTTAACGCGTCGTACCCAATTATTTTAAAAATAAACGTTCACATGACTTGTGACGTATGCTGTCACGCGGATTGCGTAGAGTTTCGGGATTCAAAAGTGCTCCAGAGTTGGTTTTTAATTTTTGAGTCTAGATACTGCTTGATAAAATTAAATATTGTTTTCTGCTTCAATATGTTGAACAATTGTTTTGTGCTTGCTTTATTATGCTGATTGTTTCAACAATAATATTTACATTATTAATGATAAATTATCTATATCTCAAATATGGCTCTGTTTACTCAAGAAAAGAATAAAACCTTAAAATCAATACCACGTTTATTTTTATTATAAAAAATACAGAAGCGACAAGTTTCGGCCTCGCAGGGCCATCTTCGGGCCTGTAAAACAATAATCCTTAATTAAAATAGAACCAACCGAATCTTATATTGTTCCCATCTTAATTAAGGATTATTGTATTACAGACCTGAAGATGGCCCTGTTAGGCCAAAACTAGTCGCTCCTGTATTTTTTATAATAAAATTGATGTATTGTTTATGAGATTTTATTATTTTCTTGAATTATATTATTATTAATAATATGATAAATAAATGTATTTTAATAATATACAATAGTTCGTATTTTGTTAAATTTTCATATTATTTTCAAAATAAAAGAATTAAAAAAAGATTGTATCCATCGTGCAATAAATCTTGTCGCGAAATGCAAATTTGACTGCATATTCAACGCCTACAAAACTGAGCTAAAGGCCATGATGTCAAGTGAGTTATCTAATCAAATGTGTGTATTGTAAATTTAAACAAAAAATTATAACTTTATGTTTTCTGACGTCTCCTTTGGCCGCTAGCTCCTAGACTATAAATAACTATGTATGCGTAAAAATGTATTTTTAAAGAATCCATAATTAAGCATAAAACTTGTAAAATTAAAAAAAAATCCATTAAAACTTTTTAAAATACCCTGTATACACTCGTAATACGTCATATATTTATGCTGAAATTTATCTAAACCATAAAACTGCAAAAACAAATTAAGCATTTTCGGTTACTGATTGCCTACCTTGTTTTTGATCATTTAATTTAAGGTTACGTTCTTATTAGTTTATCCGTCGAATTTTGAATCACAATAATTTATAAACTCTGAAATCAGCAATGCAAACAATATTTTGAAAGTATAGTTATAAAAAAAATTAAATAAAGAAAAATTGATTGGCTTATTCTTTTTTTAAATAATGTCGTATGTTGTGGAAATATATTTTGAAATTTTCTTGTAACTAAAAATTAAGTACCTATAAACTAACTAGAATTTTCCGTATATTGGTTATAAGCTAAATTTTGTGCATAGGATTTATCACTATCCGATCTCCCGTGATAGTCTCCTCCAGTGTATTCTCCACCAGGTGCTCCAGGACCTGCCCATTCTGCTCCACTAAGACCGCCGATAGCATCATGACTACTACTACTATAAGGACTACTGTAAACAATTCCAGTATCATGATGTTTATTATTTCTGTAATCTAACCACAGCTTGACAATTTGTACTATCACAGCCGTAGCTCCAATGAGGACTATCTTGAATAGCATAGCGGCTTCGAATATCTTGACCAACAGGCTTACTTTTATTGCTACAGCTGCTGCTAGGATTCCAATTTTTATGGCTGCGAAAAGTTTTTTAATAGGACCTTTCTTCTTCTTTTTTCTGAGTTTCCTTGATGCTAAAATGTTGAAGTGTTGGTATCAATTCTGGTTAGTTATTAATATTTAAAAGTTTTGTTAGAAAATCATGCGAATAATTTTAAACTAAATAAGAGAAAGAAACGTTCGGTTTTATTTGGATTAAAAATAGAAACTGTCATATACCTGCCGCGATTTAGTTATTAGATAAAAAAAGTTATTGCTGTGTTGACGAATGAGAACCATTAAGTGAAACGTTAAAAACATAGAAACAAACAATAAAAATTGCCCACTTGATGCATTTTAAATATTAGTAAGATTATCTTTGCAAGTTTTGACATATAAGGGCATAATAATGATATATTCAAGAAATGTTTGGTTGGTTGGTTGGTAGGTAGGTAGGTAGGCACTTTATTGCTCTTGAATAATTTAAGGTGGCGTTCAGCAACTTCCTTTGCATTCAAGATTTTAAAGAAATGGTAATATGCATCAAATGGTCACAAATGAAGATACTATTATAAGAAGATGTTTCATCTCAAGTCTTCACACTTTTCCATATGCTCCTGATCTATGGATGCGCCTTTTTAGGTAACTTTAACAAACTCCCACTTTATAGCCACAATAATTTGTAATTTGAAAGTTAGTGATGTTACTTAATATTTATGTGACCATTACACAAAATACAAAGGATGTTGCAAGGCAATAAGACTGTTCGGTCAAGATGACATCATCTCCAATTCCATCCCAGATATTATTTCTTTCTGTAAAACGACAAAAATCGTACTTATATGCCACCACTTTACTATATGTGATACAGGGGAAAGCAAGATTAGATATTTACAGATTAAATAACACACTGAGAGGTATTAATATTAAATCAGATCACATGAGTATCTCAAGGTCAGTGACAGGGAACGTGCTAGACATGAGAATAGATGAACAGTCCAATCAATGTTCTAATGACGAAGAGAATAGAGATTGCCAACACATGGTAACTCAGTTGACAACAACAGGTTAAAACTTGATATCTAATACTGTGGAAGGTAATGGGGCTGGAATATTTTTCAAAGAAACCCTGATACCTGTCTCAGCTATGCAATTGGAAAACATATCAGTATTTCAGGTAGATTTTACGAAATTTTGCAATGTTCAAGAACAAACAATAGGAAAGCTACCTAAAACTAGAGATCTATTAATGACAGGTGGCGCTTAACGTCATCATATCGAGCCAGAAAGTGGCAGAGGGGCTAGTAATGGACTGCATCGAAGAACAGAACATTGGCAAATTGAACTGTAGTAAGACGAGTTTGAGTGCCTGAGCAACAAGGGATTTAGGGTAATGAAGCGCCTGATGAACTCAAAAGAAACACCGAAACCAAGAATAATAGAAATACCTGTCCCTAGGGAACGCTATATGAATAGAAACCAATATTGAAAATAATAACATAACTTACGACTGGGCGTACCTCAGTAAAGATACACCTGAAGAAAAAAGTGTCCAAAAAGTGTCACAAGGAAAAAGATAACACTTTCTGAATCACAGCAGCCTATAGAAACCATCCAGTAAAATACTTGTAGAAAGTATAAAGGTAATAAAGTGGGTACCATATACAATAAGTCAATACACAGCAGTATTATAGCAGACTAAGTCAGATGACACAAGGAAGAAAAAGATATAATAACATTCTGCATGTTTAAAGCACAATCTGTTATTACGGGACTAGACGAAACTCCCGAGGATATAATACGGTTCAACTATAATTGAATGATATGAAGAAGTAGTCACCTATAAATTATTAGTCAACAAAATATCAAATCAATAACTCAGTGACACGATATAAATATAGTTTCAGGCGATGCTGTCTTCCTACTGCAATTGCAACAAAATGTCTTTTATGGAGAAATTTGCATGATGTCGCATATTGAAGACTGAAATTTGATTTTTATGCATGCATCTGTTGCAAGTCATAAAAACTTGTGACACCGAATCTATAAGCGATTGTGATACTATACTACTTCTTCTAGGTAAATAAAATACATCTTCAATGGGTGATCAATCAATAGAAAGGTGCTAAATTCAATAATACGTATTATGGTGAAAGTAAATGTTTGTCTACTATAGACTCTAATCATGTCAGGTAAAATGGGAGGGACGAAATTATTTTCAAACCAAACAGCTTAGTTTCATTACTACCACAAAGATGGCGCCTTTTGTGTAAGACATGAAACACATATCCAAAAATGTTCGAAAAATGTATGCAGAATCTTCCTGCATTAGATCCAATAGATTTGGGATACTGACTCCAAAAGCCTTCCTGTGACATAAATATGCAAAAATTGAAGATATAAAAGTAATTTTAAAAACCGACTTCAAAATCCAGCTGAGCCCTTAAAAATTAGGATTTTTTTAGTTTCTCATAGATCATCAGATCCTGACCAAATGTATACTTAACTACTCCTGAGATATCCACTTTCTAACAAAAAAAGCATCATAGAAATCGGACAACGTGGTAAAGAATTATCGCTGAACATACATTAAAAAAAAATATTCCGAAATGAGAACCTGCTCCTTTTTTGAGGTCGGTTGAAAACTGTTTTCATATATGTTGTAAAATAAAAGAGATACAGTGGAACAAATCAGTTTTTTAGTGCCTTTAACTGTAAATGTTTCTTAAACCATAAACAGAAAAATAATAAATATAGCAACTAATCGGCGAGAAGTTATTTTTCGTTAATTATCCAAATTTTACAGATAGCTTTTGAAGCCATCTTGAATTGTGCGAATTACTTAAGGTCAACTACTTGCTATTTATTGAATAATATATACGATATTTTAATAAATTAACAATAAATGAATTTTAGCAACCAAAAAATGTATTCCTTGTGTTGATTTAGACCAAAACATTTTCAGTAAAAGTATTTCTGGTTAACACATCGCTTTAGTGGGCTTAATTTTTTTGGTTTTAATTATAAAATGTACTACCTAATTAGACTTAAAGATACTTCTCATCATCGCAGCAAAAACTCTTAATGTTCGCTGAAATCGACACAAAGCAATAACAAACTTACGTATTTTTAAAATCACAAAAAGTAAGTTTCCTCCACCAATAATTAATAGAACATTCAAGCAAAACCTTTTCTTTCCCAAATTGCGAAGAGATATTCTAATTTGATTAAAACATTTTGTTAATTTTTTTTTTACTGAATAAAATATTTCAAAGATTGTGAAAATGTGAAATGAAGATTTTATGACATGCATCTGTGGTTTGAATATTATGACCTATTTAATTTTAGAAAAATGTTAACAAAGTTGTAAATGTTGTAAAAATAGAGTATGGGTGCTATTTACTAGTCACTGACACAACCCATCATCTATTTTCAGACATTTTGATAAAAAAAATAACCGAGAATGTCCAGAAATATATGTATATACCATAGCCAGTCTTAGTGTTTATATCATGCTTTTTTAGGCTGAATTCGAGGTTCAATTAAATATATTTTGTTTAACCTATACATGCAGTTTCCGTATTTAAATTTTCATGCTGTGTTGAAACTAAATTATCTGTCATGCCTTCAGATAAAGATCATGCTAATAAGTCGGTTTCATACTTACCTATATTTAACTCTTGTTCGGACTTTTGAACCTTCCGAACACTTTGGTCGAACATTTCTGATAGAACTCTTATCAGAAATAGCGAAAACTTTTATTTTATCTTTCGTTTGTTTCCTAGTTTTACTCCTTACTTTTTTGACTATCAAATTTGTTAAAACAAGATTGTACAAAAATTGGAATTGTTTTATTATATCCCGTTTAAAAATTAATAGAAGAGAACAAAAATATTAAATCGTAAAGTGCTCTCAGTAAATTGATTCAATCAATAAAAAAACCTAGACCATCTAATTTGGGAAATAATAGAAATATTAATTTTTTTCCGTTTGTCAAGAATCTTCATCTATATCTCTACTATCAAGATTTTAACATGTGTATTTATATTTAGAACACCCTATATATCTAATCAAATAATTTGAATTCACTTTGAATATTCAACCTGTAACAATATATTTTTCTAAATTTAAAACTTTAATGAAACTCGTACTTTCGATTTTTTTTTTATTTTATAAAATTTCGTCATTATTAGCATCTGTTTCAATTCTATGAACTATCGTACCTATTTTCGTTGTGTTTACAGGGTGCAGTAATCTACCATGATGTGGATTATATCCCTGTTTAATATCTAACCAAAATTTTAAAATATGAAAAGTAATGCCAACTAGACCTAGAAAGAAAAACTTAATTTGCATCAAAGAGCTAAATAGTTTCTGCGAAATAATAACTTTAGTGACAATCGCTACAACTACAAATGCGTATTTCATCATTTTCCTTCGAAATTTCTTTTTCTTCATTTTTCCAAACGGTCCACGTTTTTTCTTCCCATTGAAGATTTCGAAGCTGCTCTTTTTCTTTTTGTTTTTCTTTCTCCTTCTGTTTTTGTTTTTGTTTTTCTTTTTTCTTAATCCTGGAATACGGTTACTTTTATGAAAATGTACGGCTCACTCTGTAATATCTACATAGTACATACCATGCTTAGTAGAAAAATTCATGATCCAAAAAGAGTAGATTTGTGTGAGATGTAATTCATCAATGCTTGTTTGTATCCATGTGTAGAAAGGTTTATAATTGTTTAAAAATGTATTCCTTCTTTAAATCCAAATAACATATTAGTAAATTTAATATTGAAATATGTATAAATATTTAGTATAATTTACAGTGTAGTACTTAAGGTTTTTAATCTGTTTCAAACTTTAAAATGCCAACGCTATCTAAATTCTATAACTTATAGATACAAATGGATAGTCTGTTGCGGTTCGTGACCAAAATATTGGGGATTCACAATGACAGAACATATATCCCAGTACAGATTTAGGAAAAAACTTTTAGTCTTTTAGAAAGGTACACTATAAACACTGAAAGTTTTTTACCTAAATCTGTACTAAGTTCTATATTCTGTTATTGTGAACCCCCAATATTTTGATTCTTTAT